AAAAAAACATGTAAATCAAAATCTAATTAAAAACCTCAAAATTTTGAAGAAGCTTTGATTTAGATGGTTTTTGTTAGATGAGTTACGCTTTTACAAAAAAATAATAAACATTAAATAAAATTCGAAATAGCCAAAGAATGCTAAAATTTCTCTCCCCTATTTATATTTTCGCCACTGTATATCCATATCATCTTTTATGAATGAGGCTATTTGTTTCTATTTCTAAAGTTAACATTTCTTTTTGCAGTTCTAACTCACTTAATCTTAATTTTAAATTTTCACGATCAAGTTTTTGTTTATGGAGAAATTTTTCTCTTGCAAGTTTAAGTTTCTGTTTTTCTATTTTCCTTCCTTTTTTCATATTTTTAAAAATGTTATTCAAATTTACATTTATCTCATTTAAAACTTTACCCGAATGCTTGTGGTAAGCCATTTGGTTTTCGACTTGCTTCTCTAAAAGGTTTTGTTTCTTGCGAGAAGTGCTTCAACATTTGAACAATGATAATCTTGGAGGGAATTACTTTCGCCTGTATTACCTTCCACTGAAGTTTCGATGTGTGTATTCGATGCTGTTTGTGCTGCACCAAACTCTAGTGTGCCTACCATCCCACTCATTGATTCCTCCATCGATAAAAGTTCACTGACTTTCTGTTTCAGTTGCGTAAGTGAGCAGTAATTGGAACGACCACCACCAGTTCCGGAAATGCTGTGTTTGTTACGACGCATTTTTGCTTTCAAATGCGTCTTGTAATCAGCCCAAACCTAAAATTTAAGATTATTGTATATTGCCAAAAACTACTAAAGTTACTACTTACTTTCTTCGAGCCAGCAACTTCACGCATCGGTGGGCCAGCTGCATTTAGGTCGCAAGCCAATTTCTTCCAAAGGTTTGTGGAAACGGTTTTAGCATCCGGCGTCTTCAATAGCCCCTTAGACAAATCCGGGTGGATTTCCATGAAATCCACTAATATTTCAAATTGCTTTTGATTCGTCTGCTTACCTTTAGTATTTTCCCTATGTACATATTTTTTTTAAATAATGTAAATATATGCAATTTCAGTTTGAATAATTCTTTTAACTTACATTTTTATTTGTTTCGTTTGCCTTTGAATTGTAGCAAGAAAAATGCGA